AATACGTATTTCAGCTACTTCTCAGCCTGGAAAGAACTAGATAAGCTTCTAAAATTTCTCTATCAGAAATAAAGCAGCTGTGTGGTAAAAGTACCAACAAATACTGAAAATACCATTTGTTATTGCTAAAAGACAACCAAAGGGCCTCAAGCACAGAATTAACAGCTACATTTGTGGAGGCAGATAGTAAAAAGCAAGCAAACTAAAAATTTGTTTTACTGGCCAATTCAATTCACACAACTGCTTCCCTCTGTGGCAACCAGTGGAAAAACTGAAAAAAAAAAAAGAAATAAATTCTGACTTTTCATTCAATTTACCCTGCCACTTCCTTGCTGAAATAGCTTATATTTTTCCTGATCTTCCCAAGAGTTGGTATATGAAGCACAACAAGAATTTTCATTTATTCTAGCAATGCATAACCAACAAGATCAGTCAGACAGTTTAGATCTCTGACAGACTTAGAGCACATTAAGTGGTAAAAGCACTGTGACAAAATAAAGCTCTTTTTCCCCATTTTGCTCTGGGGAGTCTTACTTTTCCTACTGGATACTTTCTTCATTGCATGCAATAGAGCACAATGCAAGAGCAAAGAGTAGAAGAATTTGGAAGGGGGGGTACAAAAAAAATCACAACCAGAACAAACAACTTATAGATATATGTGTTTGCAGCAAGGCCAGCCTGAACTTGCACAGACATAACACAATGATTGTAGTGTTCTCAATGAACAACAAGCTCATAACAACAACAGCCCTCCACAGCACAGCCTTGGGTAACAACACATTCAACCGCCTTGAAGTTTCCTTCTTCTATTTGCTGTTCCTACCTGGAACATTACACAACTCCTTCAGAGAAAGTTAAATGTCAACCTCTAAAAAGATGCTGGAAGTAATAGAATTCTTTAGTTCCCTCTTACAGTGAAAAATTTGTGTTCAAAATTAAAGAAGTAAGGAAATATAGAACTTCCAAAATGAGTTTTTGACATTTTGGGGAGAATTCTTTTCATGGGGCTGGTTACAAAGCAGAGCAAAAGTATATGCTCGATTTTTATCCTAACAACATAAAACCCATTATACTAAATCATTTTCCCACAGAAAGATTTCAATATATATGAAACTGTCAAAAATCTCCATTATACACCATAAAGGGTACTATGTTATATAGCAAAAAAAAAAAAAAAAAAAAAAAAAAGTAATATAAAACCTACAGAGGAATGGGAAAGATAAATGAACATCTACCACAGAGACTGGGCAATTCCTAAATGGCAAAGGGTCAGAAAAAAAAATCTTCAGGTTATATTGTGAAGCACTTCCATTATCTTTGTGACAGAATAGAGCACAGGGACTGCTATCAATAAACGTCCATACACGTTTTATAGTTTGGCTCACACCACAGTCTATTTCAGTTTTCACTGACTTGAAGGAAAAAAAACAAAGCAGTCTTACCAGCTATTTGGGAAAACACTACTAAATGAACTATTCTGTACTTTGACTTCAAAAAAGACTGAATTTAAACCTCCTGAAATGTGTATCCACAGAATTACCAGGAACTTCCTTCACAAGCTAATAAGGAAACCCAAAGGAAACATAAACCATATCCTAAATTAAGCACATGCTGAGACATTAGTCACGTCTTAGTTTTTCTTCTTAGAATTGCTTTAAAAATATTTCTGTCAGATAATCATAAATCATCCTGAATTCAACAGAAGTTGAAAGAAAAAACAACTGATTGTAAAGACGAAATTTCCCATTTCCAAATATAAGCCTGAAGCCACAGGGGTCTGAATTCTTTTGCTAACTCCAGTGGTCTTTGGCTGATGTACCTGTATTAACTGAGATAGTTATCTGAACAAGCACTGATTGAAGTCAGCTCACAATGCGTTCTGATCTCTTTTCTCCTTTTCCTCCAGTTTATTTCCTCTTACCTGAAATAACATGTATTTTTACAGGGGCCGAAGAAGCCTCTGAACTTCTGATTCATGATCTTTTCCAAATCTCAGTCTCTAACACCTTATAAACTTTCTGAAGTCCCTTACATAAAGCAATACAGGGACCACTTACGCTTATTAGTCTCTTTTTACTGATAAGATTCAGCATTATAGAACACTGACATCGTAATCTATGAAACAGATATGATGTGCGCAGACAACCAATGTGAAGCCCATACTGACAATCCCAAAGTAATTGTGTGGTCTCAACCTCAAAATATGTTCTTGCTTTGTTTCCTAAGAACGTTTGTCAAACTCAGTGGCACACTATTAAGAGACGTTTGATTCATGTTGCCAGATTTTTTTCATGCCCACTTGTTACTAAACAGCAGGAGAATCAGACCATCTCCAGAGTCAGCAATAAACATTGCCTTCTTTTAACAACTTGACCAGAGAAGTGCTGAGCCACTTTGTAGAGACAGTTTATCTTCTGTGCTCTTCTATAAATCCAAAGTCATTTCTAACTAAACCTGGTCAGATGCAAATCTTTAGTAATCCAACCTATCTGCAGCTTTGTGGAGCCCCACTAAGTGCAGTGGCTCATTAGAGTCCAGAAAGATGTGGTCAGGTGCGTGCAAATGGTTTCAGTTAAACTCATTCCAGCTGTGTGGCAGAAGAGACATATGCTCTCCAATGCAAAAATAAAGGCAGTGGCTAAGATGATAACCTGTGACTCACAATTCTCTCTTCCATCCTCTGCAACTGTCATTCTTTGTTGCACTGGGCTGATTTTTCAAGCATCTCAGACTGTGAAATGGGAAGACCAGTCCTTGCCTCATCCCGCTCCACTACTCTCTTCACAGGGCTTGCCTGTCACCAGAAATAATGTGACTATGTTAATATGACATTTCTTGTCAATGCCATATTTTGCCATACTGAGATATCATTATATCACTGGGCACATCAGCAGTCTGCCATCTAACACATTTAGACAATGGATAGTCCTCACACCTCTAGTACAATAATACACCTATAATTGTTAGAACATGAACATTGAAAGAAAATCAGTGTTTGGCTATAGAGTGTGAATGAGGCCTCTACTTGCAATGTCACAGTCACTGAGACTCAATTGCATCTATAGCGCAGTCAAAAAACGCAGACTAGAATGCATTAAAAAAAAAATCAGTGGTTGCAAGCAGACATTAACCTACAGACTAACAACTTGATGTCCATCTCTGCCTGGAAAGTTAGTGTAACAATACATGGGGGAAAGCATTACCTTTTCTCTAGAAAGGAAAATAATCTTTTTGGTTTTAATCCTATAGTCCCATGAGAGATTGTCAAAGCTTGTACTACAATGGCTAAATTTAAAAAAGAAAAAGCACAAAATGAGACAAAGACTCGATCCTGCATAGTTACAAACATTCTATCCTTGAACTAAAAAAAGCACAACTCTCATTTCTCTAAGTTCATGAATATTCCTCATGGACCTCAAACAAAATGTGTATAATTGCTTAGATTTAAGTGTGTGCTTAAGTGCTGGGTAGAAAATACGGTTTTCAAGGCTGTGCAGAATCAAGAAAGACATTTAGAGACCTAGCATATGGCAAGAAACAGAATTTAAACAGGAGCTATTTCACATGTAGCTGATTTTGAGATAAAGTAAATTCCAGAGTTCACTTAGATGTTTTGCTCTTCTCTCGCTCATTTCTGGCAAATCAGTAATGTATACAAACATATATAAGAGCAAATATTTGCTCTTATATACCACAGAGACTTCATGCTAAAGGAAAAAGGCCTTTCTACAGCTTGGAAGTGATATTTTCTTGACCTTACTTTTAGTATTATAAACTGAAAACTTTTTCCACTGATTCTCTATATGATTAGTTTTCTAGAAGAAAACTTTTATAAAGAAGTAATAGAAGTTATTCCATTTCTAGACATTAGGGATGATCAGCTTGCATGCCAATTCCTTTTCCCACTTACAAGTTTGAGTAAACCTACATGAAGTTCAACAAGGCCAAGAGCAAGGTGATGCACTTGGGACAGAGCAATCTCAAGTATGTGCACAGACTGGGAGAAAAACTTCAGGATCCTGGTGGATGAAAAGCTGGATATGAGTGAGCAGTGTATTCCTGCAGCCCAGAAGGCCAACTGTCCTGAGTTGCATCAAAAGAGAGGTTGCTAGCAAGGAGAGAGAGCAGATTGTCCTCCTCTACTCCACTCTCCTGAGGCCTCATCTGGTGTATTGTGTCTAGGACTGGGGCTTCCAGCACAAGAAGACATGGAGCTGTTGGAGTGAGTTCAGAGGAAGGCCACAGAGATGATCAGAGAGATGGAGCTTCTCCTCTACATAGAAAGGCTGAAGCAGCCAGGCTCATTTAGCCTGCAGAGGAGAAGGCTTCAGGGACACCTAATTTCAGACTTGCAGTACTAAAAGGGAGCTTATTAACAGGAGGGAGATCAACATAGTCTGAAAGCATTGGGACGAGGGGGGAAGGGTTTTAAACTAAAAGAGGGAAGATTTAGATTAGATACTAGGAGGAAATTCTTTACTCAGTGGCAGTGAGGCACTGGCATAGGCTGCCCGGACAATGTGTGGATGCCCCATCCCTGGAGGCAATCAAGGCCAGGTTGGGTGGGGATATGGGCAGACTCATCTGTGGGTGGTTGGAATTGGTGATCTTTAAAGTCCCTTCCACCCTAAGCCATTACATGATCCTCACTTCATGTCTCATTATACTGATGCTGAAGCTACAGATTGCCTAGGAATAACCTGATTTCAGTGTTATTTAACCAAGCCCTGGTAAACATGGAAAAAGATATTGAAATAGATGATCTCCACTACACAATGGGGATAGCATCATATGCCCCTTCGATAGACAACTGAAGCATGCTTTCATCTTAAGAGAAAGTATTCCATGTGCAACAAAATAACCAGTAGTAGCATTATAGCTACTTACCAATGCACATAGAAAAATAAGCCACGTAAAAGCAAGGAGCAAAAACAAGCAATAAATCAGTAAATTACACAAAGATATGCAAAAGAAAGAGTAAAATAGCTGCTACTCACTTTTCACACACACAGTAATTTTATTTTGAAGTCTTGAGTTTCCACTAGTTTCTTGGGACACAAGAAAGATGATAGATTTAGAATTCATGTTAGTCTAACCTCTATATCAAATAGATGTGCAGACATGAGAAAAGCTACCTTATGACTGTTCTCAGCCTCTCAAATTGCTTGAATTACTTTGTGCTGCAGAATATAGGGGGAAAAAAACCTCACATATTTTTATACACACACACACATATATATGGATTTCAACAAAACTGCAACTAGCTAACTTCCATAAGAGGTTCTCATGTTTTCCAGCACCTATAAAGGAAAGATTTAAGAGCCTGCCAAAAAATGAGAAACTAAAATGCAATTTCAGGTCCTTCTGAGCCTTCAATTGTTTAACGGACAAGAAAAAAACATGAAGGCATCCAGCAGAAGGAGATGACGACATTGCCTTCAATGGGATACAAGCACTATGGAACAATAGCAGGTAACAAAGAAGAAAAATAGTCTCCCTCCTTACAAGACCAGAGACAGCTTGAAAGGAGCATGATTTCTATCCAGAGTAATGGTGCGTCCTATGCTGCTAATCCTTAAGTGAGTGTGAGGAGAGGTGGATCCTGTCTCTCCAGTCACTCAGGTACATTGCTTGCGCCTGAGCTCTCTGGGTCATCTATGCCATCCAACCTGGGTGCTCCACTATTGGTTCAGGCCATGATCTGGCAATTCCACTGCAGAAGGAAAACAAATTGAGTCAACATTCTAATTCTTCAGCATCACAAGTTATGAAACAGTGATGCAATGAAACAGCATCCATTACATTAGAAATATAAAGTTCTCACCTTTTGCACAGGCAACATTTTTACTGGAAACAAATAATACTGATGCCACTTACATTCATCCCCATGGTTTGAACAAAACATTGACCAAAAGGCCTTGATATGTGCAGCTAGGAAAAATGTAATGCAGCATTCTTTAAACTTTTTAAAGATTCTTTAAACAGTAAAATTAGAAAAGATGACAATAGTAATCTGCATAGATATCTGAAAACACTGAAGTACAAAAGAAGGCACACTTTGCTTCAGGCTAAGACCAAGGTCTCAAACCAGTCAATAATCACCCAATTCTTACTGTTCTACTTCCTTTTTTTTCCACATGATTTCACACCAATAGTATAGAACAAATGCTATTATAAACTTGGATAACAGAAGTTGGCTCTGGAGCTTATTGTAGTGAAAGAAACACCTCTTTTCAATATAGCATTTGCAACTACTACTACATAAACAAAATCATAATTGTGTGACTATTGCTGTTGTGATTTAAAAGGACTTTTTTCTCCCTCCCAGAAGCATCCACAAAGTTAGGTAAATCCAGAGAGAGACTGCCTAAACACTCAAAAACATCAGCTTATTCAGGAGATTTTTCCAAAAATGTCACATAGGCTCAGATAAAGCTGCCTGGGTATTAGACAAGATCATGTGTCTGAAAGAGTAAGATGAGTTTTTTTCCTACCTGATGACTTTACTTTCTACTTTTTTTTTCTTTCCAGCTAACCTATCTTACTTTCTGCGTAAAGCGTTGGTCCTTGGAAACAATGCAATTGTTTCTAATAGGTTATTTGCAATGCCAGGCAAAGTGTTGTTAGGATTATCAGTAATCATATATTGAGAAAGTTTACTCACCCAGCTGATTATAGGGTCTCTAGCTACAGAACACTCCTTCTCAGTAAGCAGGCTTCAACCAAGAGGCGATCTCCCTTAGGAGGCTAGACCCAGTGACTTCCCTCAAGTCATGTGGAAAGCCCATGTGAATAGCTTGCACTTGTGCTCCCTGAGGCCAGCCACTCCCTTCACCAGGTGCTCAATCACCAGTTCAGGCCATGACATAATAGGTCTCTTACAGACAGGATTTCATATTTCTCCCTTAGAAATGGAAGAGGCAGGTCCCAGTCACAGCTGCAGAAGTCCACTGCCAGCTGAGAACACTGAAGTATTTCCCAGAGAGCAGAAGAGCACCATCTTCCCCTGTCACGGTGGGATTCTTGCTATCTCTCTTTCTTGGAAAAAGGTTGGGAGGCAGCCTTTGCACCATGAATAGCTCTGAGATGCTACTTATGTTTACAAAACAAACCTTACACCAGACAAGGATAAGAATTTCACTGTGTCCAAACAGATCGGTTATTTTTTATGTTGCTCGCAATAGTAAATATAGCAAAAGCACTAAAGCTGTGTGTCAGACACACCTGTATGTCATACCCTCCAAACCAGTGATGCATAATAACTGGTAGCCAATCACCATCATGTTTTGCAACAGTTTAGAAGAAGTCTTCAAAAGCAGTCCCACATACAAGCAAAACTGGACTAGTTGAGTGACGCCAGAAAAGTTATCTTAATCCTAGATAACAGGTAAGTACTGCAACAAATCAATTATAAATATTGTGCTGAGCAAAGAAGTGAAGGCAGCATGGCAGGCAATTGTAATTGCCTTCTTGGGAGCACCCGCATTCAACTCTCCCACCCATCACAAGGCAGTCTGACTCACATGTGACATAGCTACACTCAGCACCATTCCTTACCTGACCTTTTACTTCAGTGATTTCCTGTTTGATAAAAGTTTTCTTCTTATACTGCTATCCATTCTCAACTACTTGTTGATTAACTTGCCTTATGGACATGTGCCTTTATTCCTTCTCCCTCTGTCTTATTTACTGAAGCCTCATACTTTATTCTCTCTGCTCTCCTCAGTGATCTCTTCCCCTCCTTGTGCATTCAGAGGGTTTTAACACAGTCTGGTCCACGGTTTTTAAAAGATCAAAAAATGAAGCCGCACAGATATTTATTTATAACTTATTTCTGCAGGTGATTGAAATTTAGATTAACCCTTAAGAAAATGACAACCATATTTCTATTCAACAGCATCCCTGTTTGTCTTCAGAGACCAAGAAATACATGATTTAGTTGTAAAAATCAGTGCTTCCAAAACGTATTTCAGTGCTTACTCTTAAACTGTGTTTAACTTTATGTCTTTTATTCTAAATCGCTTTACTCTTCTTAAAGGTTGGTAATGATTTTACTATTATGAGGTAGTCCTCAATTCCTTCTCACACTGGAAATTATCTTGATTCAAGTCTACCTTGTCAAATTAAGTACAAGCCTGTTGGAAAATTGCTTCAGAGCAGTTCATTTCCTTCCCTTAAAATAAAAGAAACAACAGTTTGACATTTCTTTTACTGTTTGGGTGCCTGGCTACACTGTATCCTGAAATTAAAGGTACGCTTTAGAGGGAATTTTTTCCCTTCAAGATCTCCCATTATTTCTCTCTGTGAGGCAGACGGTGCCAGCTACTCCTGCTGCCTCTTCAGCCTTCCAGTTCTTCATACTGCATTTCTGCTCAGTAGTTCAACAAAGGCACGATAGTCTAGGAAACTGTTATCAGTGCAAGAATAGCCTGGCCTTTGCCTGGGCAGCTTGGGCAAATGCCACCTCAGACAACTGGCTGCCATACATCAAGACCCTCAGCCAAATGGCAACCACACAGGAGAAATCACTGGCTAGCAGCCACCTCAGGCAAACAGCAGTTGAACACACACCCATCTGTGCCCAGGTGCCCTGCAGTATCACAGGTTGCAGAACACAGTTAAATCAGCCAGCCCAAAAGAGGGAGGTTTCCTTTCACATCTGTATGGCAAGACTTGACCTCCAGGCCAGGTCCAGGCTCACTCCACAAGTGACCTCTCTGCAGCATGGGCAGAGGGCTTCCCATACACAGGCTTCTCTGGTAGGCTCCTGCTTATAACAGCAACAATGCCTTCTACATCAGCAAGACTGAAGTAAACCACCCCTGTCCATGCAAACCCACAGTGTGAAACTGGAAACTGAGAGAGAAATTGTGGAGGTCAACTCTGCTCCCAGAGGCTGAACCCACAGCCACAGAGGCCAGAGAGAAACATAACCCACATCTAAAAGGAGAGAGCCAACAGCACTGTGTACTTCCACAGCTGCTCAGTGTAACTTCAAACAAGAAGCACCAGCTCCAAGGACAAGGGGGAACAGGAGGAAATCACAGTCCTTTCTCAGGACATTTTAGTTAATACCTGCTGTGACTGTAAGTTGGCTCATAAAAACAAATCTCAGCATAAAATATTAAAGTCTTCCCAGGGAAATCTTTAACTTCCCTACTACACTCAATCTTTTTTGTTCTTTCCATCAGTACTTTTTAAATAATTAACAGCAGGTAAAAATTATCTTCTGCATTAATACAGTTCCTAGCACTCTTAAAAGAGCAGCTCCACCACTTATGACCAGATGATGCACTGTACTGCTTTACCCTTTAAATGTAAAGTTGTGGCTAAAGGGCAGTTTTTTCTCAAAGTAAAATTGAAGTTTTCCACCCAAGAGATGTCAAGAAACTCACCACTCCCAGGACCAGCTCCTGAGGAGATGTGGGCTGCAGCTAGTGCCTCCTCCTTCCGCCTCTCCCATGCATTTTCTGTCCTTCACCTTGCATTCACCTTTCCCTTTTGCCTTGGCAGCTCCCACAAGCCTGTTGCCATGGGAATCCCCAATTACACACCTCTCCTTGGACTTTCAAGCCCCAGGAACCAGCCCCTGAGAGCTCCTTTCTTCTAGGAAGAGCCTCTCTTGAGTCACGTGCACAGATGACCCAAGCCCCCATGAAGGGGCACCTTGCCAGCTGCCCCACAGAGCAGCCCTCTCAGCTCAAGCTGGGTCTCAGTTGGTCCCAGTGCTGCTGCAAGGCAAACCCCATGGCATGAGCACACCACCCCAGATCACCACCAAGCACCTTGGCGAATTCCTCATAATTTATGCCTACTGAAACATAATTAAAAATTTCAGATACCTCAGTGGAAAAATTCCTCTGGTTCTCCAGTTTGCAAATGTTCAGTAAATAATATTCACAGTGTTTACTTAATATAACAACTACAAATTAAGTTGAAACAGGTCATTCTACCATGATAAGCTACAGAAGATTTCTAAACAGAAGAGAACATGCCAATTGAGATATTGGTCTTGAATGTAGACCAAAAGCTATTTTCACTTTCAATACACTTCACAGTGATGCCTTTGCAATTTAAGTACCATGCTAATCTGTTTTCATAGGCCTCCTCTTTAATGGCACTGGATGGAAGTGACCTTAGGGACATTTTCCTCTCTACATCACAGACAACACAGGCTTAACTATGTGAACTCCAAGATATGGAGATTGTTGGTCTTAGTACAGAGACATTTAGCAGCTACTGAGGCATAACTACGTATTTACTTTCCCAGCAATGTCATTTCCTACACAGTGATTGGTGATGCTGCTACGGTTTATAAAGTCATCATAAAATTATTTAACGTAGCTCAATTTGAAAAGCTCTCTCTAGCACTGGCTAATAATAATTGACTCATACACTAAGGAAACTTTTCTTAATAATGGAGGTATTATCATTTTTCTTAATTACTTTGCAGATGAAAACAACTTTTTTTAACCTCTGTAAGAACTTAAGAACTTACTTTAAAAGATCACCTTATTTGCCAGTTACAAAAACATTAGTTTTTCTTTCTTTTACAGAGAAACACAGAAATTTCCAAGGTGACATAATAATCTAATAGCTATCTAAATGTAAGACTCTGTCAAGAGAAAATAGCTTTTTAAATTCTGAGAGCAAGTGCCACTGAAAAGCAATGTTACATTCAATTAGGCAAAGAGCAATGTGCAGAAAAAAATGATACACTTTGTATTTAAAATCATGCAGTTCAATCATAGAAAAGAATATGAGTTTGTCAATCTATTTCATTCGCAACAGAAAACAAGGATGAAAAGGGAATCCAAAATAAAATATATATATATAAAAATAATGATTTCAGAAGCTAATTTCTAAAATATATTTCTATTTTTGTTCTATATAAAATTTCTATTTGGCTGCGTTTTCATAAATGCTGCTTAACTGAAGTTAAAAGTGTTTTAACCAAAAATTATATATTTTCTCCAATTTTATTTTGGTGAAAAAAAAAAGAAAAAAAAAAAAAGCTACTCAGATTGAATTCTTTGGATTGAAATAATCTTATTCACAAACTGTGTTTAAAAGATGGATGTTTTCATCTTTAAAGAAAACCCTAATACGACATCTTTGCTTCTTATGTGACAGCCCTTTTAGGGGACAGACAGAGCTCAGTTTTACATGCCTATCTACTATCCAGAAATAATTAGGTAATTACTGCGACTCAGTAGTTTCCTGGGAAACAGGAATTCGTTTGCAAGCCCTGGCTATGAAAGCACAGAAAACAGCATGGCTGTTTACAACCCTGTCTCTTCCAGGACTCGTATATATTTTAAGTAAAACAAACAACACTTGCACACCAAAATTACTTAAATTGCTCATTTTCCCTTTTCTGAAAAACTAATTTCAAAATTTCAAAGCTCTATACAGATGCTGCGGTATAGCAGAAAGGAGAGACAGTTTCCAAAATCACTCCAGATGTGTCACAAGAATGGTTTGACATACATGAGTACACTTCATTTCTGCTTTTGGGAGAAAAGGAGAGCCCAGAAAGTCAATAAAGCATCGTCCCTCCGACTTCAGAGGAAGTAGGATTGTGTCCTGCCTCTCATGATCAGGTTCTGGGGATTAAAAATGAATTTTAAAAATGAATTTATTTATTCCTATTGGCAACCACAGTGTAGGTGTTAGGAAATGAGTTAGCACAAAGACAGTTTCCCTGCTTAAAAATCAGCATGCTACCAAGTAAGCAATACCTTCTCTACATCTTGGCAT